ATTCATAAAACGCAAGTTCACAGATTAAACTTCTCAGCATTTTACAGGCACCTGGGAGAACCTACATGTGTTTCTATCTGTTGAAGTTGTGGGGAGAAGTCCAAACAGTTCATTGCTCCGTACTTGGGTTTCATGAAAATCAGATTTGGCATCGGTAGTAAAATACCTTCGCAGTGGCGTTCTCTCACTCCGCTGTCAACTGCAACCTGAGAAAGTCACTGCAGGTGGCCAAAGGGAGTTACATGCACCTTTGAGGCTTGAGAAGGTCACTCCTCCAGGTCACCACTGAGGACAGTAGATGAGTCTCACTGTTAGCTCCGCTATGGTCAAAAAGGGAACTGCAATTTTCAAAAGACATCCTGGGAGACTGTCATTCCTGCAATCACAGTCTGCCTGTGACTCTGTCTGGGCAAGGGAGAATGTCATGGATTAGACACAAGATTTGAGACTGTCCACCCATACGTCAGAACCACTAGTCTCCTTCATGAATGCTTGAAGAGGCGAAGTCAAGTTTCATGACGTTGTGTACAATTTTATGTACTAATTGCCATTATTTGAGGAACATAAATACGGTTCGTCTTGTTTCACAGTTAGAGAGAAGAGTAGGTGGCTTCTGCTCTCACATGTGGGTCCTGAGTCAGGGCTGCTTCTTTCTTTTCTCCAAGTGACTCTGTATGCGATTATATCCAGCAAACATAAGTGTCAGTACAACGAGCACAACGTACTTTAATATGAGGCGCACAGAAAGTTTGAAGAATCATTATGTGATGGTGATAATACACTGCGACACTCAGGGCTGCTTTTTTTTCCGTTTTTTTGAGTCCAGGATGAATCCACTTAATTCGTAGTTTGTTTAAGGGAGACCAAGTTCTCTCTCTGGCACTGTTTGGTACTTCTTCTTGCTACTCACTTTTACAGCATGTGGTCTTTGAAGTTTGAATTCCAACCTCTTTCTGGACGAGCCTTAAGTAAAAAGGCAGCCTTTAGGGTTAGGCAGTGCAAGGTAAATTTTCAGCCCCATGAGCAGGAACTCAGTTACATGACTTGCATTACCATTAATGGGGGTCATGCTGATAAATTCCTGTACACCACATTGAACATTTACTCATGAGTGCAGAATTGGCACAGCTAATGAAACTTGCCTTTCGGGTAGCATGGTGTTTCAGGAGATGAGTCTGACAGGCAGAAAGGACTGCTAAGTACCCAGATGAAAGTCTGGCTTTTAACTCCTTGAACATATTTCCAGAAAATAATAGTGTGAATTAATGCTGGTTAGTGTTAGCTGTTCCTACTGTTAGGGATCAGTCTTGCTCCAGGATTCCACAGAAGCAAAGATGATGCCTGAAATGTAAATGTGTGTGCTGTCATTTAGTGGTGGCAATTCGCTTTCTTGTGTATTTTCCAAGTACTACTTACTGTTACTTATTTTCTTTCAAATGGAGGCCCATCCTCTTGCTAACAAACACCAGCTTCTATAATCACAAACAAATTAAGTTCTTTTTTATAATTTTCGCCCCTGCTACTTTCCCAAAGATGATCCCTCCTATGGCTGGGCATCCCCTGCTGATTTCCAGCTTACATTACTCATGGGCATCTTATCCCCATTTGTTCTTATACTGTGTCCGTTGCAGTGATGGCATCTTCTCATTTCCAAAACTGTTCCTTAGCCTTTACTTTGCTAAGCTAAACACGTCAAGTCCTTTTTGGTATTTGATGAGGTAAGCTTTCTATTGCCTTGGCTGCAGTTCTGTGCGTCTGCTCTACTTGGAAGTTATTTTTAATAAATGTAATCAAAATTGTCTACAATATTCTATCCTGTTCAGTGTCATAAAATTTCTCTCATACACATCTTTGCAACAACCCACTGTTGTATTGCCTTTTTTATTTTTTAATCACACCATGGTTCATAATGGTTTTGTAGTCAATTAATACAGTTAATTTTTCTTATTTTTTTTCATTTATAGCTGATGGTCTTTGAGCCTGCAATAGAAATTCTTGTCGTTAGATCCCAAGTTTCATGTTCTGTGATTAATTCTCTTTCTAGGACTCAGCTATTCGAAGTGATTCTTTTTTTTAATGCATGATACTCTAAATATCCTTTGTGTCACCAGCAAACTATATTTAGTATTAATCAAAATATTAAATGAATAAAATCAGTTTCATCATTCAATTCTGAAGGAACTCCTGACTTAGGCTGCCTCTGTTCCATTTATTTGCCTCTGTTTTATTTATTTCACATTATTTCAGTTATAAAGTATTCCCTACGCTAGGTGCTGAGATGATGAGTAGCATAGTACTTGCCACGAATAAGAGGAAAAAAAGCCCATGTCACATTCAGTCACTCAAAGACTCTCTTTCCTTTCCCAGCAACATGTTCTTCCATTTTGGGAAAAGCCTGTTCTGTCAAATGGGCCTTTTAACACGCTCAGAAAATCACTACGTGTTTGAACTAAGTATGGTTTGAATTGCTAGTAAGTCTCTTTTCATTCACCAGAATATTCCATTTCTTCTTCATCAGCTTATGTGTGGTCATCAGAGCTGAAGAGATGCCCCAGGTCTGCACTGCAATGACCAGTCGACATCTAGAGAAACACTTTGCAATTTCTATGTTAAATAAAAATAGGGGGAAAAAAATCAATTTGCCACTGCAGCTAGTTGACTGTGAAGGAGCAGCTGCAAACTGCTGAGTCTCATCAGGTTGCAATCTTGATTAACATTGGGCAGATCCCCCCTGCTGCGAGAATAAATACTCTGCCTTTGTCAAGGCTCCCATGTAAGAAACAATAGGTTATTTCAGTGAAGCACAAGAACGTAAATGTCAATCGAATCATTCCTCCGAATGAATAGAAGTAGCACCCAGAATGTAAACATTTTAATTTTGGAAGGGAAGGTCTGCTTGTCAGTTGGTTAATTTTCTATGTATTTTTTTGTTTACTTTGAAAAGCTGCTCACTAACATTGCCATCATTGCATACAATAATATTTTCAAGCACTGCAAATATGTATGCTTCCTGTCTTTCCAAGCTAGGCAGTGGCAAAGTCCAGGGAGTATCGGAAGAAATAAAATCTGCCTTAATATCACTCAAGCGAGGTCAAAACCTTATACTGTATAACTGCCAAACTATGTGATCACATTAGTTCTTAGTAGAGGAAATGGAAAATACTTTCCAACTGGAATTGATACCAGGAAACATCCTTTAAAAATGTTTTTTAAACATTGGGATAATTACCCGTAGAAATAAATCTGTATCTCTTTACACACGATGAAAGTGACTTTAGGTATTTTAACGAATTTATGTGTGTACAAGCGAAACAGAAAGAATAGGCATTTATCCCCTTTCTGCTTCCTTGTTTGCAGTACACAGTTGAGCAATATACGTTTCAAAGCGAGTGTACAGCAAACTACAGCATGATGCCCAGCCATCCTCCGTTTTCGTGTGGTTACTATTGTTGATCAACACATCATAAAAGTGTCTCTTGGCTTCCAGTTGTGCAGCGTGTCTGGGTCAGATCCTGGTGACTTCACTCCTGTGAGGTGTCCCTTTGCCTGTAGGGGAATGGCAGCACAACCAGGGGAGTTCAGCTCATTGCTTCTCTTGTACCCATAAAGTCCTCAGAGATCCTGCACCAGTGGTAAATTAGGAGGACTCTGTAGCTCTCTACGAACACTAAGTGTGGAAAACGATTTTCTTACAGAATTCACTAGTTCTTCACTGAGGCTGATACGCTGCTGTTTATACATGCGCCCTTTTTTAACAGTCACGATGCATTTCTCCACTGGAGGAATCTGTCTCTTGAGTTTCTGTGTAGCAGATATGGTCCCCTGTCAGTCACGCTGGGTTACATCTTGTCAGTTGGGAAATTAATGGAGATGGAGGATGTGTTTGTGGTGGAGGCACAGAAGTTTGGTGTTTGGGGTTGGATTCCCAGTGGTCCTGTAGGCTTTCCTGCCTGTTGAGATCACTGAATTTCCCCAGTTGTCAGTAGTTGCTGAAGTGGGTAGGACAACACCTGCCAGCAGAGTGATTAGCAGAGCGAGCCAGTAACCGTGGAGGTGTGAAGCTGAATGTGTTAACTCCAGTTTTGTGGCCCATGTTCACCAGCGCACTTTGTGGGTGGGTGGTTAGGAGTTTCCTGCTGCCTGGGTGAAGCTGGAGATCAGGACAAGCCGGAGCATTTATTGCCACTCTAAAACACACTTTCTTCCCATCTTCCGTGCACCACGCACACTGTCGGTCTGCGTGCCTGGACCAAAGTGGCTGTGTGAGGAAGCTCAGATCCATCCCTTATTTTTGATCGTCCAGCTCTGTGGGTTGATGATCTCTGTTTTCCTGTGACTAGAAACCGGGGGGGCTTCTCAGCCAGTTCAGCCACAGGCAGTGGGTTTCCATGCCCTCTGTTTTGTAGCTGGGAGGCACTCCCAGCAGGCACAAGCAGTCTTCATCTAAGCTCCCTCCCGGTCATCGGACAACCTTTTGCTACAGCCTTTATAGGAACATGCACTCGGTTTGTGGTGGCCCTGACAGAGTACCCCTATCAGGGAAATTTTGATTTAAGCCTTTAGCCTCACTTGTGATATTGTATCATTTTATGTTTTTCTGTCTTTGGGCAGAAACAATGTTAAAATTCAAGTGACTTCATTCACTTGAATGGTGAAAAGTTACAAAATGAGCAGAATTTATGGGAGGTTGCTGTGTAGAAGTAAGAAAATGCCTCTTGGAAGTGATTTGGGCCGAAGTGGTTCGGCAGTGGAAAAGACCAAAGCCACTTCTGACCATGCTGTGTATCACACTGAGCATGTATGGACCCTCTTTAAAATCATCCATTGGGTTTTTTTCTTGCCTAGATGTCATAGGTCAACTTAACTTCTGCTATTTTATTTACACATCCTATTTTAGTTCCCTTTGGGGAATAAGAAGTATGTTGTTGAGCTGGCTGAACCAGCATTTAAATCCCATGTGTATGTAGCACTGTATGACATGTGGCATTTATTTCTTGAAGCCCAACATTGGGCGATTAGGAATTCCTCATGGGCCTTCAGGAGAGAAGGTGGCAGTGGTGACCGTGGACGACTGTGACACGGCAGTGGCTGTGCGCTTCGGGAGCCTTATTGGAAACTACACCTGCGCTGCCCAGGGGACTCAGACCGGCTCAAAGAAGTAAGGATTCCCTATATTTGCATTTTCCACTCATTCTCTTCTTCCAGGGGAGGGTCAACAGTATGTGGTTAACCACTAAGCAAATTAAGTTGGAAAAGCAGATATGATTTAACAAGAAAAAGTAAAAAGATTTAGTTTGGTAGATGGAATTTGTTGGAGGCTACTGCAAGTGTCAGTACCCTGGGAGGAATGCACAGAGTTTTGTGTAGATACACAAAATGTGTATTTGGGCACATGTAGACATGTGCCCAAATTACTTGTAAAATGCAAAAAAAAAGGTCAGTGTGGATGGCCCCCAAAAAGCATCTATTCAGTATGCAAATGTAGAGAGAAGGGCAAATAAAATGCTAGACTTTATTAATGAGGGGGGTGGCTGAAGAGCTTATTACTTCCATCATTTAAGTTAAGTCCTATCTTAAAAGGAGATAGAAATAAAGGAGGTACAGAAAAGGCCATTGAAAAATCATAAGGTATTAAAAAAAAACTTTCCTGTGAGGAAAGACCAAAAAGATTTGTACTGTTGGGTTTAAAGAGGAGATGGACAGCAAGCAACATAGCAGGGATATAAAATAATGAGTTATAGCAGAAAGACTATTGAGATGCACATGCTGCTCTAAAATCCCAAGACAAGGAGGGACTATAAAAATTAGGGCTAATTCAAACTGACCAAATGATATACTTGTCACACAGTGTGGAGTCACTCAGTGGAACCTGCCTCCACCAAATGTTATTAAGATTAAGATCTTCAGAGGATTTAAAAAGGGTAGGCACTGTATAATAATTAAGTCATTATATCAAAATCTACAGCATCTCAGCCCTTGTGCTGAGGAGCATAAGCCAGCCCCTGGGTGACTGGAGTCAGAAAGAAGTGTCCTGCGCCTGCACATTTTTCCATAATTTTAATTTTCTTTTTCATATTGGCCACTGTTAGGGACAGGTGAATGGATTCTGTATGCATATGACAGCTCCTAAGTTAAAAGTTACGGTGTTTCTGGAAGGTCCTTTGATTACAAGCTCTGGAAGTGCTGATGTAGCAGGGAGAAGTGCACGGCAACACGGGTTAACTAAACAGCTAAAATGTGCTTGTGGAAGCAGTAATATACAGAACAAAACAAACTATATGCAAGAAATTATGAGCATTTCTTTGTTTCTTCAGATCTTTGGACCTAACTGGCCCTCTCCTCCTTGGCGGTGTCCCAAACTTGCCTGAAGATTTCCCAGTGCACAACAGACAGTTTATCGGCTGCATGAGGAACCTCTCTATCGACAGCAAGCCGATTGACATGGCTAGTTTCATCGCCAATAACGGCACTCTGCCAGGTACGAGCAACTACCGCCTCAAAAGTCAACAGGAGAAAGCTCTCTGCTGTAGCTGTGTGTGTAACAGGGCTTAGGATGTTGAAGGGGCTGGCACTGGGAGGAACCCCAGGAAGGGGAAGGGGACAGAGAGGTCTGAAACAGCCCCTGTCCCCCTGTTAGTGCCACTGAGCGCAAAGCATTTGCCCTGGACCATGTGTTAGGGGCTCAATGTGCTTCTGGGCATTGCGCTGCCACCACGTCACCGGCACAGCTGCATCCAGACCTGCCTGATGCACCTCGTTTGTTTGAGCAAGGTGCAGTCTGCGCCCGTGCTAGGGACACACACAACAGCCCGTGGCACAGCACACACTTACAGGATTACGTGGCACGCAGAAAAGGACCAGGCTTGTTTAGACCTTCTGCTTTGCTACAAATTTCACCCAGGAATTTACTCCTAAATGAACTTTTCCTCTTTTTTTTTTTCCTAATTACCTTTTAAATGTCACTTTGGTCTGAAAGCCATGGAGTTAGTTCATCAAAAAGACAACATTTTTAATGACTTTTTCATAAATTATGTTTGTTCTGTAAATCAAATTCTGCAGTCCTCCAAATCTGAAACCTGCTTCATGAAGCAGCCTGTTGGAGTTTCTGATTTGGTTTCCAGTCCCTGGATCCCTGATCAGGATTAGTTCTGGTGTACAAAATGTTGTCATCATCGTAAAACTGGCTCCTACACGCAAGAGTGGCGAGTTCCTTCCTTTCACCCTGCTGAAGGTCTGTGTAAGAGCTAAATTGCAGTTCTTAGGTATGTTGCATTGATCATGGATTAAGAAGGGAGTAGTAGCATAACCTTCAGATTGCTATTTTGTCTTGGAGCCCTTTTTTAAGAGTTATGTCTCTAATATTAGTTAAACACAAGTTTTTATCTTTTGGAAATACCCATCAGGAGGGACATGAAGTGTTTTCTTTGGATTTTTTTTTCCTCATTTGGAAACGTGTTTCCGTATAGTTTAAAACAATGATGTATAGTAGTGTTACTCCACTGTGTAACACCGCACATTGGCTTTCCCTGGTTAGCGTCTCAGTTAGATGACAGTAAGTTGCAAACAGTGGTTCTGAGTCACGGCACCAGTCGATCTGCCCGTCTCCAGCAGTGGATGCCAGGGGAAGAGTATAAAAACAGGACAAGCATGCAGTGATATTTCACCAAAATTTTCTCTTAGTCCCCAGAGATTTACAGCTCAGTGACTGCATTTAATAGCCTTTGATAGGTGTGTCTTGATGAATTTGACACTTGCTCAGCTCACGTAAACTTTCGCCATCCACATTTTGCTTCACTGACTTCCAGGATATTAAAAAAAAACCCCAACCTATAATGGTCATGTCTTCTTTTTACATAAAAACTCAGATACAATAATTCAGAGCCTTTTTCTTGTTAAAACCATGCAAAGTAACTGTTCTGCTGAATTTCAGGCTGTGCAGCACAGTGGAACTATTGCGAAACCAACTGGTGCCAGAACGGAGGCACATGCGTCAACAAGTGGAACACGTACATCTGTGAGTGCCCCGTACGCTATGGAGGGAAAAACTGCGAGCAAGGTAGGGAGCAAAGACCTCTTCATGCATAATCATGTGTGCAGGTTTCATTACCCATCGTTAACATCTCGTAGCATGTATGTCAAACTGTGATGCTTAAAGGGATAGGTAACAGAAGATTGCAATTAAGACGAAAAATCACCCACTGTCTGTTTGAAATAATTTTAGAGATTGCCTATATAATAAATATGATAGCTGACATACTGTCATGAATAACAGCAGCTTTCATTGATTTACTTAAATAAGCAAAGTAGTTCCACAGAACTTGGAAGTATTTAGTAATTTGTTTATAGTAAAAATGCCTGATCCTAAGCCCCTTTAAATCAGTGGAAAGAATCCCGCTGACTTTATTGGGCTTTGACTCAAACCAGGGATGAATGTGCAGTTTTAATCACCACTTTCTTGGCAAGAAGTCAGTCGCTGCTGAGTACGAGCACTTTCAGTTTTATTGGGTTTTTCTTTGATTGAACACAATGTGCGTATATGTGTAAAACCTCATTAATAAAGGATGAGGAAGGAGCAGCAGGTGTATTTTATAGGGTGTGAAGAACTTGCAGTTAGTTTCTTCCCAAGGAAGCGAGGAGTTGTCTGCGTTAGGGGTCCTGTGGGGTCGGTGCAGCAGTGGGCTGCCTGCTGTAAGGTGGCACGTCCATGTCTGGTGGAGGGTTGCTCATTTGGAGTCTTCCTGGAGGCTTCCAGGAAAGAAAACATGCTTAAACTAGGCACGGCTCTCCTAGCAACAGAAGGCCAAATTCTGGCCTCTGATGCCGATGTGGTAGGTCTTCGTTTCTGTTATGCCCCCGTGACACTTAGCCCAGAATAGTTTGCAGTGTGATCAAGGATTTTGTTCTTTTGATGTATATCTACCCCAAATCAGACATTCTTGATTACTCTCAGCAGGGCATGGACCCTGGAATAGCAGATCTCCAAGCTGAGGTGCACACACCACAGTGATTTGCAAACCACTTTAGCATAGTATGCCTCAGCCTGGGCCAGATCTAGGTGGTAGCAACTGCTCTCCCCTTGCCTGAGAAGCAGCAGCTTAGGAGGAGAGAACACATAGTTAAGTTTCTGGCTTGCAAATAAGGGTCATCAGAGTGAGGGATGGGGGAAAGGATGATGGCAGCCTCTTCCTATGTCCCACCTCATGCAGAGCCCAGAGCTGCTATTACTGCCCTTAGCGAGGTACCTGCTTTCTAGAGCAGCTCCTCAAATATTTTGAGCTCTCCAGGTTTGTATGAAGACCTAATTTTTCCATGTGTCTCATGTCAAGTGTCTTTGTCAGTGAAGTTCTGGTGTTTTCTTCATGATAGGCTGGTCTCTGTGGTACAAACCCACGCTGATGTCTCCTGAGAGACTGCCAGGGCCCAACTCTGGTGTGACCTGTACTGGGGTAAATGGGGAGTAGTGCTATCACATACAAAGACTATCTTTCCCTCTGTCTTTAACTCAATTTTGAAATGGAATTTCAAAATTTGATCAAATGTGTGGTTTTTTCATCATTTTCTTATCCCAAACTCAAGACCAAAACATGAAGTTTGGGATTTAGAAAATCACCTCGGAACTGCTCTGTAGCCATCACTGGGAACTCATTTTAAGTTCAGGTAATACAGACGACGACAATCACAGCATCACTGTTCCCCCCAGTCTCTTCTGCCTCCAGTGCTGTGCATTCATTTGTCATTCGGTAACCCCGTGTTCTTGCTGATGCCTCAATTTGTGTGGGTTTTTTATAGTTTGAGGGCATCAGGCTGCTTGCTTCTTTGATGATATTTGTGGGGTAAAATGTCCCTAAGGAAAAATTGCAAGCCAAGAAAGAAATGAATTTTTCTGAGATGTGATTGAAGATTTCAGGAGCCTGAAGTTAAAGTCAGGAGGAATCACTGATATACGATACTCCTGGCTTTCAGGTTGCTCATTTGATTGCTCAGATATGATCCTAACAGCATTAGCTATTATTAGGCAGCTATTTCTTAAAAACTCTTAGCTAGAATATTTGCATTCTTGTGTAGGGGTGATTGGCTGATGCATTTCGTCATTCCCTTTGGCAGTGCTGGATCTGCTTCAGGTTCACAGACAACAATGGCTTTGGCAAGTTAAGAATTCAACTTTTTCAGTTGCCCATCTTCAAAAGTTCTGGGATCTGGTCTGCACTAGTGTGTTTTACCTTCACCACCCGCCTTGGACCTGCTGACTCACCTTTTGGCAGCTCCCATCTCCCTCTGCTGACATATAGAAGGGAGATAAAATTAGGGAAAAATGAGTTTCACCTTTGTTGTAGTTTCTTTTAAAAATTGAGATATTGTAAATGCCATGAAGATCTAGCCTCTTTGCCCGACGCGCTCTCGGATGGCTAATGTCATTGCTCTAGCCTTGGGCTGAACACCACAGGTTTGCACCAAAACATAAGCTGTCAGATGTCCTACACCCAAACTGCAGGTGACATCCTGATGTTGGCAGTGTGTTTCCCCAGGCCCTCTGTCTCCACAGTGAATAACCCTCACATCTTTCTGATGGCCTTTTAAATGTAGGAGTCTCTTAAAAGTGTATGTGGATACACAGGCAGCGCTTCAAAGTGACAAACCCTGAGAAAACAATTAGTTTGCATCACTGCATCACCGATGGCAGGGAGATGCTGTGCTTGGAAGCACGTGCGCTTGCCTCTGTGGTGATAGGAGTGGTCAGGTCCCATCTGGGTACATTGGATGTGGCCACCAGGCGCTGCATGGAGACCCCCGGTCCCAGGCATAGGGAAGGGCTGAGGGGAGGACGGAGGTCAGAGGGGGTTGACAGATGGGGATTTCTGGTTTACTAGCAGGAGAAGGCGCACCTTGGCCCCGGGGAAGGGAGGGGAGTTGGGAGGAGGTGTGGGAAGGGAATGGTATTTGCAAGCACCGAAAGTCACCACTGGTGAGAAAAGGAAGAAGGTGGCTAATTGCCATGCCAGTCCAGTTCTCCCAGGAACTGAGCTGAAACGCTTGCAAACTGCATTCCCAGCCTGCAGCAGGTGGGAAGCCCGCAAGGTTTGCATCCTGACTCCACTCTCCAGAGGCAGGCAGACTTAAAAACCTCAGCAACAGTCTAGAAAACCACTAGCAAAGAAGTTGGAAGTTGAGGCAGGGTAGAGGAGGAAGGAGAGGGCTGACTTTGGCACGCATGGAGCAGAAGGAGGAAATGATTGTGCTCAACACTGATGTCCCAGTTACTTTTACATCAGTGTGGTGCAGTGCAGGCTGATGGATCATGCCCTGGCCCAGACAGCCAGAGCTCGAGCACCAGATTCAAGTTTTAAGCAAGCTGGGGACATCCGTGTCTAGTGGCAAACCGATTTAAATTGCTGTCCGCGTTTCAAGAGCACACTAAGCTTCAGTTGTTCCACCATATGCCCGCACTAGCATTCGTGGAAGACTGAGTGTGACTGCAAAGGGGAGATCACAGCCTGGAGCAGGGTGGGAGAGGGGCTGCCCTTTGGAGCTGCCTGCACTTACCCTGGGGTGGGGTGGTCGGGTAACCACACCTTAGAGAAGGGCAAGTCAAGTTACACCTCTGGCTTGGCTAGTGGTAGTCCACTAGTCACTAACATCTTGTTTCTCACAAATAGGGAGCCAAAGGGCTTGCAGACAGCACTTTCCTCCAACCCCTGTGCTCTCCCACACAAGGCCTTTCCCCTTATAGAGACCGGCAAGGCAGAGATATCAGAACTTGGGGTTTGGGGTTTTTTTTCTCCAAAAAATGCAACTTCATATCAACCTGACTCCATCTTCTGCAATGATGTTGTCCCTCTACCTTTTCCTAAGGACTTGCCATTTTAAAGTAACATGTACACATTTGTATATACGTGATGTCTTTTACTACAAGAAAATCCAGAAGAGTCAGCAGATATGGTAGTGTGGAGCAGAAGAGGAAGGAGACTTAACCCCTGTCATCTCATTGACCATCCACATGAGCTCGGTGCATCACAAGATACAATGCTGGGTGCCAATCCGTGGTGGTTGTACCCAGTCTCTAAGGCTTGCTTACACTTGCAAAAAGGTGCCATGAATTTCACCACCATGTCCGTGAGTGGGGACATCAGGCAGGGGCTGACTGCAGATCCCGCTACAAGGTGCCACGCGTGGTGGAGGTGCCATATGAGGTGCTGAAAATAGCACAGAGCTCCTACAGCTTAATTTGTGCTTCTAATCAGTGAGATCAACTAATTCATGGTACTGTAGCTCCTGTTACCTGAGGTAACTACTTTAAAAGTCCAAAGGGTGAGTGTTCCCCTGTTTTCCATGAGCAGAGTGCTTTCCATTGAAGGCTGTCATTGGTGTCTCGTTGGGGGAGCTGTGTTCGTGCAAGGTTAGAGAGGAGGGCAACTCTTCAGCTGCCACCTCAAGATATTTAAGGCAGATAATTTAGGCAATTCCACACAAACTTTCTCCCTGTGAAAAGGCTGCATAGCTGAGACAGCTGAATAATCTGGCCCTGGAGTACTTATAATTAATTAATATTTCCTGTTGCCTCCCAGCCTTTTCCTCTGTGTTTAATCTGTTAATTAGAAGCAGGTAATCAAGGATATGTTGAAAACATCGGCAGCAAGTGTTGCCCTCATACTTCCTGTTCTGCCCACCCACTCATCAGCAGAACTGTATCAGTAGAGATCCTGAGCTCACCTTTCTAAGAACATCTCTCACCTGTGTAATGCCATAGCAGTGTAGAGGTGCTGCCTTTGAGTGCAGGCACCAAAACAAGGTGCCTACCCCACAACAAGGGTAGGTCGTGAATTTACAGTATTATCAGCTGCTTCATAGTAACTCCCCTAGACTGGCTCTTACTCCATGGTAGATTAAAAATAGCTCAATGGAAGAGGGACTAGAGGGACTTGTCTTCTTAACCTTTGTCCTAAAGGATATGAACTGTTTCTCTCCTGTCTTTTGATTTCCAGCAATGCCTTCTCCTCAGCGTTTCAGTGGTGAAAGCATTATCATTTGGAGTGACCTTGACATTACCATCTCTGTGCCGTGGTACATTGGGCTGATGTTCAGAACCCGGAAAGTCAATGGCATGTTAATGCAAGCCAATGCTGGGGCTGCGTCCAAGATCAACATTCAGGTAAAAATGTGGCTGCCTTTGGTTAGAAAAGAATTAAGAAATTCTCCCCCGTCAGTGGATATGGCCACATGAACTACATAGCTTCGTCCACCTAGCTAAATGCACGTCAATAAATACAAATGATTTCTTCAGCCTTTTACAAAGATCAAAAGATCAATGATCAAAAGTTCATTGTAAAATTCAGATTCATTGGTTTAAGATTATTTTTTTAAACAGAGGTAGTAGTGTGCATTAATATAGATGCAAAAAATGTGTCTCTTGATTGTTTGGGGTTTTTTTTGTCAGTAGGGTAAGTTAGAGTCTGAATGTCCAAAGTTATATGAGCAATTATTGCAAGTGTTCCCTTCTTTACTGTTTGGGCTTTTTTCCCTTTTGGGTTGCATTGTTTCTTGCTCTCTGCCCCCTTCTGCATCAAATACAAATATGTATCAAAAAATAGACATGGTTTTTTTCTTCAACAGATACTGAACAACTACGTGCAGTTTGAAGTGTACAGTGGCCTGAGCCAGGTTGCTAGTTTGAAGATGAGCCAGTCGCGAGTCAGTGATGGGGAATGGCATCATTTATTAATAGAGCTGAAGAGTGCTAAAGATGGTAAAGACATCAAGTACCTCGCTGTCATGTCCTTGGACTACGGGATGTACCAGGTAAGGCAGCATCATAACTTTGCCACTAAGCACTACAGAAATGTTTTCAGGAGAAAGTAGGATGAAGCATTGTGGACGAATACTTATGATGTGAGCCATGTTCTGCAGTGATTTGTGCCTAATGAAGTTATATTAATTTATTAAGCCTAATGATAAGATATCTTATGAATAAGTCTGTAAAAAGCCACATTCAGATGTCTAGCTCCTCATTGCTTTGATATTTTTTTCTGTAATCTACTGTCAGCTACTGCTTGACTCCATCACTACAGAAAGCAGGCTGTCTGTGTCACAAAGGATGATAGTGCTTCTTATCGACTGTCCTTTTCCTCAACAGAGCACTGTGCAGATTGGAAATCAACTACCTGGACTGAAAATGAAAAGCATCATTGTGGGCGGTGTCTCTGGAGACCAAATCTCTGTTCA